GAATTGGTGCATTTTAAGTGTTTTTATTTATTTAGTGGTTCATTTATATATTTCTGCTTTTATTTATAATTATGTCAGTGTCGGTCCTCCATACTGCAGAACTTGGAAGGTAAATCAGTGACTGAATCAGGTGTGTTGGAGCAGGAAAAACGTAAAACATGTAGGGCTGCGGCCCTCCAGGATTGCCCACCCCTGTTTTAAAGCAAAAAATATATAAAAAACGTCAATTTGAGTCTCTAAAAACAGCATCTATAAAGCATATATATTAAACTTTTAAAAGTATTTATAGCTAAAATATCTAAGTCACTTTCCTGAGTTATGTTTATTAAAATGTTTGTTAGAGTATGATGGGAGTAAATGGGTGCTGCACCCATTTACTAATGCTAACAGTTTGTAGCATCACAGTRACATATGTTTTATGAGTTCAACATTGCAACAGAAAGGTTAAAGAAGCTTAATAAAGTGAAAAAAAAAGTAATTTTCCAGAGAAACTGATTACAGAACGTTAAGCCGTTCAGTCCAGCCACAAACACGAGCCGAAGTTTCTTCAACCTTCATCTTTTGAGTTTTCCTCCGGTTTTTCGCTCTGAGTCCGACCGTCTCTCTGCTCCTCGGAGGACGCGGCCTCGTCCAGCAGCCTCATGTCTTCGCGTAGAGACACCGCGATGGAGAAGGCGTGGGGTTTCAGGGTCAGGCCGTAGCTGTAGTCCAGGGTCGGGGTCCTGCTGGGGTCRGGCGCGATGCGGCACTGGTGGGCCAGCAGGGCCGTGAAGAGGAACAGCTGCAGCTTGGACAGCTCCTCGCCGATGCAGCGCCGCCTCCCCAGGGAGAAGATGAGGACGCTGCTGGTCAGGTCCTTGTCCAGGGACCCCTGAGGGTCCAGGAACCGCTCGGGGTCGAAGATCTCCGGGTTGGACCACACGTCCGGGTCGTGGTTGATGGACCACTGGTTGATGAAGATGACGGTGTTCTTGGGGATGGCGTAGCCCATGACGGAGGTGTCAGTGATGGTGGAGTGGGGGATGGTGAGGGGGATGAAGCTGGTGAAACGCATCATCTCGTAGATGAAGGCCGTGACGTAAGGCAGCCGGGACATGTCCTCGATGGACGGGAGGCGCTTCCTGTCCACCACCTTGTCCACCTCCTGCTGGAGACGCTCCTGGATCTGAGGAAACCTGCATCAACAGGACAGAGCAGGAAAAGACTCAGAGACTCTCCACAGATACAGAAGACGTTCAAAACAGAAACTAAACACAACGAAACACAACTAAAACACAACTAAAACACAACTAAAACACAACGAAACACAACTAAAACACAACTAAAACACAACTAAAACACAACGAAACACAACTAAAACACAACGACACACAACTAAACACAAGTAAACACAGCTGAAACACAACTAAACACAACGAAACACAACGAAACACAACTAAAACACAGCTAAAACACGACGACACACAACTAAACACAACTAAACACAACGAAACACAACTAAAACACAACTAAACACAACTAAACACAACTAAACACAACTAAAACACAACTAAAACACAACTAAAACACAACTAAACACAACTAAAACATAACTAAAACACAACTAAAACACAACGAAACACAACTAAAACACAACTAAACACAACTAAAACACAATGACACACAACTAAAACACAACTAAAACACAACGAAACACAACTAAAACACAACGACACACAACTAAACACAAGTAAACACAGCTGAAACACAACTAAACACAACAAAACACAACTAAAACACAACTAAAACACAACGACACACAACTAAACACAACTAAACACAACTAAAACACAACGACACACAACTAAACACAACTAAAACACAACTAAACACAACTAAAACACAACGACACACAACTAAACACAACTAAAACACAACGACACACAACTAAAACACAACTAAACACAACTAAAACACAACGACACACAACTAAACACAACTAAAACCAACTAAAACACAACGAAACACAACAAAACACAACTAAACACAACTAAACCCAACTAAAACACAACTAAACCCAACTAAAACACAACTAAACCCAACTAAAACACAACGAAACCCAACTAAAACAAAACTAAACACAACTAAAACATAACGAAACACAACGAAATACAACTAAAACACGACAAAACACAACTAAACGCAACTAAAACACAACTAAATGCAACTAAACACAACTAAAACGCAATTAAACACAACTAAAATGCAACTAAATCACAACTAAAACACAATGAAACACAACTAAAACACAACGAAACACAACTAAACACAAAAAGAAAATCAGTAGGTCCTCTGGATGGTTCTTCTTTAGTGAAACGTTTCGTCTCTCCTCCAAGAGACTTGTTCAGTCTGAAGAGTTTCAGGTGAACTCAGCCWTATAAGCTCCGCCTCCACATGGACAAACAGGTTAGTCACATGCAAAAGAGGGCCATCGACTAACAATAGGTCGTTAGGGCCTTGATTGGCTCTATTGTTCATAGAGGGTCATGTGTCACATCACCTGACTATCACTGGGGCCCTGATTCATACCTCAGACTGAAGAAGTCTCTTCGAGGAGAGATGAGACGTTTCACTAAAGAAGAACCCATCTAGAGGACCTACTGATTTTTTTCTTTTTGATTTTTTTCTACCTGGATTACTGAGATGCATCAAGACAGAACTAAATACACAATTATTAAAATGTGGAATTAAAATATGGATCTGATATATGGATTGATTGATTGATTGATGGATGATTGATGGATGGTTGGGTGGGTGGATAGATGGATGGATGATTGATTGATTGATTGATTGATTGATTGATTGATTGATTGATAGATGGGTTGTTGGATGTTTGATTGATTGATTGATTGATTGATTGATTGATTGATTGATTGATTGATAGATGGGTTGTTGGATGATTGATTGATTGGGTGGATGGATGGATGGATGATTGATGGATGATTGATGGATAGTTGGGTGGGTGGATAGATGGATGGATGGATGGATGATTGATTGATTGATTGATGGGTTGTTGGATGATTGATTGTTGGATGGATGGATGGATGGATGGATGGATGAAGTTTTGATGAGTTGTGTTTATGGTCCTGTTCCTGTTCC